TATATATATATAGATAGATAGATAGATAGAGATATTATAACAAATATTTTAGAATAAATTGAATAATTTAAATATACATTTATTTTTTGTTTTTCAGGAAGTCCAAAAGCAAAACAATTTTCTCAACTACCCCCTCGGCACCAAGAAGAAGCCCACCAACCCCCTGCTTGCCAACTCTTCGCAATTTATAACTGCCACTTCCCTTCCTAGGTTCTCCAGGGCTCTCTTCCTTCTCCTCACTAACTCCAGCCCCACGCGAAGAAAGAACACAAGAGTGTGATAGCGACAGCAATGGCCCTAGCCTGCACCGCTTCCATCTCTACCAAATCCCTTCTTCAACCCCATTCAGACTCCGCCACCGCCTTCCGCTCTCTTCCTTCTCCTCACTAACTCCAGCCCCACGTGAAGAAAGAACACAAGAGTGTGATAGCGAGAGCAATGGCCCTAGCCTGCAGCGCTTCCATCTCTACCAAATCCCTCCTCCAACCCCATTCAGACTCCGCCACCGCCTTCATTCAACCCCATCCAGACCCCGCCACCGCCTTCCTCGGCGCCGCACCACATGTACGTTCCGTCATCTCCGGCAGCGGCCGTCCTCGTCCCATTAACGCCATACACGCTGCCGAACCCGCCAAGAACCCAACTGTCATCGAAAAGCCATCTCCAGCCGCCACCGTTCTGTCGCCGGCGAGGCCAGGGAAATGGACTCTTGACAGTTGGCAGTCAAAGAAGGCGCTACAGCTTCCGGAGTACCCCAACAAGGAGGATCTGGCTTCAGTACTACACACGATCGAGAACTTCCCCCCGATCGTCTTCGCTGGAGAGGCCCGCAATCTAGAGGAACGACTCGGGGAAGCTGCCGTAGGCCGCGCATTCCTTCTCCAGGGCGGAGATTGCGCCGAGAGCTTCAAGGAGTTCAACGCCAACAACATCCGAGATACGTTCCGCGTTCTCCTCCAGATGAGCGCCGTCCTCATGTTCGGGGGCCAGATGCCTGTCATCAAGGTAACCAAAAACTCTGGATCTATTTCCTGATATGTGAAGGCTGCATTGTCCAATTCAGCTGGATTCAGCGATTTAGCATTGATGTTTATAGGTGGGGAGAATGGCCGGACAATTTGCGAAGCCGAGGTCGGAAAACTTTGAGGAGAAGGATGGCGTCAAACTACCGAGCTACAGAGGAGATAACATCAATGGCGATGCCTTCGATGAGAAGTCGAGGATTCCGGATCCGCACAGGATGATCAGAGCTTACTGCCAGGCAGCTGCCACGCTGAACTTACTCCGCGCTTTCGCAACCGGAGGCTATGCCGCTATGCAGAGAATAACGCAGTGGAACCTCGATTTCACCGAGCACAGCGAGCAGGGAGACAGGTATGCCACCTCACTTTTGCTTCGCCTTCTTTTGCTCAATCTCATTCGAACGCAGATCTGTACTTGGTAATCACAACTATTCACAAGGAAGTTATAGCTTCTTTAGAGTTCATTTTAGAAACAAAATTATTGTAGATTTCTTACCGGGTTAATCGACAAGAATTTTCATTACGTAAGGCCTACTAATTTGATAGAAATTCACTACAAATTAACAATATTGCATCCAATTGACGAAATCAACCTGCTCTAATTTGTTATGCGGATTATTCATTTACGAATTAAACCGATCCTTTCCTATGACTGCTCACCTGTTAAGAAAAATAAAACCACAAATAAGGAGCAATCCGATTGAACTCTTACAAACGCACAGTAACTCTTAATTGGTCTTCACGTTTAAGCGGGTAGTTAAAGTGTTTGTCATTTTCCCCTTCAAAAAACTACAGGTATAGGGAGTTAGCCCATCGGGTGGATGAGGCTCTCGGCTTCATGTCGGCTGCAGGGCTTACGGTGGATCACCCCATCATGACTACGACAGAGTTTTGGACCTCCCACGAGTGCCTTCTCCTTCCTTACGAGCAGTCCCTCACCCGCAAGGACTCCACCTCCGGCCTGTACTACGACTGCTCCGCTCACATGCTCTGGGTCGGCGAGCGTACTCGCCAGCTCGATGGTGCCCACGTGGAGTTCCTCCGTGGTATTGCTAATCCTCTTGGCATTAAGGTGAGGAAAAAGCTTTAGGAGATGAAACTAGTTAAAATTATGTAGAAAAACAACTTTGTGACTCTCTGTTTGGTTTGTTTGATTCAGGTGAGTGATAAGATGGACCCGAATCAGCTAGTGAAGTTGATTGAGATCCTGAACCCAGAAAACAAGCCAGGGAGGATAACTATAATTACAAGGATGGGAGCTGAGAACATGAGGGTCAAGCTGCCTCATCTTATCAGAGCCGTCCGCAGCGCGGGGCAGATTGTCACTTGGGTCAGCGACCCTATGCATGGAAACACAATCAAGGCTCCCTGCGGTCTCAAGACTCGCCCATTCGACGCTATTCTGGTACATTCCAGTGATCCCACAGCATTAATCTATATGTGATGTTTCTCCTATATTTATTTCGAATTGATGGGTTTGCTTGAATACACTTTATGCGCTTCACCTTAATTTGAGTTATTGGCGGTGGAGCATGGCTTTCATGATAGCGCTGCCACAACGTACGCATCGTTTGGATACACAGATCACAAAAAGATTCAACTTTGTAGCTCATGAATCTCAGATAATAAAAAAGATTGGGTTTTTTAGGGCTGATTGAATTGGTAGGTTGGTAGCTGGCTTATTTATCATAACTCCATTTTAAGGAACAAATTATTTCAGGTTATTTCTGTTATAATTATATGTGAAAATTATAACTCGCGCACACAAACACACAAATATATCATAAGCACAAGCTAGATTCTGTTTATGAGATTTTGCTTTCTATTCTATATAATTTGTCTTTCAAATTGTATCAGGATATCAGAACATAAGTTCTTGCCAAAATTAGCAATTCAAACTAATGAATTAAAAAATCATTACAGCTTGCCAGGAAGGACTAACCTTTCGTTTAAAAATTAATTGTTATCAGGCGGAGGTCCGAGCATTCTTCGACGTCCATGAGCAGGAAGGTAGCCACCCAGGCGGAGTGCACCTGGAGATGACGGGGCAGAATGTTACGGAGTGCATCGGTGGATCGCGCACCGTTACCTTTGACGACCTCAGCTCTCGCTACCACACACACTGTGACCCTCGGCTCAATGCCTCACAATCACTGGAGCTGGCATTCATCATCGCCGAGCGTCTCAGGAAGCGCAGGATTGTCAACAGACGCCCGCGGCTTGATTCCCTGCCTTCCATGGGACTCTCAATCCTGTGAGCAATTTAAGGGTTTACTCATTTATCTCTTGTAAGATTCTGGATGTACTTGTGTATTTTAATGCTTTGGTTGATTTTCATTTACTTAAACGTGTATCTGTATCTGTGAGCGTGGATCAATTTGGTCTGTATTCTGAGATTAGAATGAACAGGGTTTGAATTAATTTCGCTGTTCTGAAGAAGCAAGTTCTAACATCCTCAGTGATGTATTATTCTTCGTTGATGATTTTGACTATGCTTTAGGTTGTTCAAGAACACATTTCGTCGAGGAAATTGTACCTGGAATTACTTTATGATTGGGTCTTGTTTTCATTGAATGCATGTAAGATTGGGACAAAATGATAAGTTCAGTGGTTTATAAAAATATATATTTTTGTGGAAGATTTGCAGACATATCACTCAGTTTCTATGTATTTACATATCCAATGCCTAGAATTCACTTTTTACATGCATGCCACCTTAGGTGTATCTCACTATGTATTTATCTTAGGTGATATTTTTTATTTATGTGAAAGATTTTAGTGGTATAAACATAAAAAGTGAAATTTAGGTGTTAGATATGTAAACATATGGGTGGAATCAGCATTTTTTTTGGGAGGGGGAAAATTAATTTTATACAAATAAAAATAAAATCAATAATACATAATTTGAAACTCAGAGGGAGTTTAGTTGTTATATGGTCTAGATCTTCCTATGATTTCGTGAAAGTTGAAGTAATAATAATGAAAAGGAAATCTTTTTTTTAATGCCCTGCTGGAAAAAAAATAAAAACAAAAACAAAACAAAAATTAATGAAAAAAGAAATAATGATCACAAAGATATTATGACAATGAAGTTTAGATCATAGGCCAAAAGCATATTAGCACATCTAGAAAATCAAATTTGAACCGGCTTGAAACTTTTTGAACTTTGAACACTTGAAAGATTCTTCAACAAAGTAACAGAGTCATTCAAAGAAATTAAAAGTGAAATTCCATTTCGGACGTTTAAGAATAAATCAAAACATGAAATTGTATTCATTAGAGACTGTGTACCTCTCATATATATATATATATATATATATAGGTAACTAGGTTACCTTTATTTTGATAACTTGGTTATTTCTACTATTTCCACTTGGGCCCCCAACTTTATTGCTTTCTCTAAAGCTTCTCTGCCTTTACTATACCTTGGTGTAAATCTTCTTCGTGGAAGGAGAAAGCAAACACAATTTGATGCTGTTATAGATAAAATCAAGTCACAAATTCATGATTGGAGGAATGTTTTCTATCATTTGGGGTGAGGCTGATCTTGTTACAAAGTATATTACACTCACTTCCTTTATACACTATGCAAGTTCTTTCAATGAAAATAAGTACACATAAGGACTTAGAACATATTTTCAACAAGTTTCTTTGGGTTGGAGAAGGTTCCCAAAAAATATGGACACACTGACATAAAGGGAGTAAATCTAGTCTCTGGCTTGGCTTCAAAAATTTGCAGCATATGCTTGATATTAATATGTGTAAGTTGTGGTTCAAATTTAGTCTTGGCTCTTCACTTTGGGCTCAATTTTTGCAACATAAGTATTGCTCTCAGCATCACCCCTCTACGGTTCAATGGAAGATTGGGGACTCTAAAAATTGGAAGGCCATTTTAAAGGCTAGAAACGTGGCTAATAAATTTATTTTTTGGGATATTGGAGAAGGAAAAGTTTCATTTTGGCATGAACATTGGGGGCTTTCCAATTCTCATGATGAAGACTTCAATTTGGCTGGTGATATGTTGGTCTCTGATTGTTGGGATAATGGTCATTGGGACATGGGTAAACTTAGGGAGTTGTTGGGAGATAATGCTGAACCCATTGCTAAACTTTCTTTATGTCTTGATAAGCCTGATAAACCTAATTGGAAGTTTACTTCCAATGCTTCTATTTCTAAACTGCTTTACTCTAACCTGCATACTTTTGGTTATTAGAAATGGGGAAGGATGATATGTTCTAGAAGGTTCAATGTATTTGGATGATTTTTTGAAGAATTTTTTGAGGTAGTGACAGTGACTTTATATATGCTTAAAATTATAAGAATTTGATACTGCTGCTAGAAGATTTAATTCCCCGGCAATTGTGCCAAAAACTTGAGATAAAAATGTAATTCGATAAAAATGTATATAAAATATTCAATAATTGCAAGGTCACACTTATCAACGCAAGTATACGTATCACTCAATTAATACAGGGCTCTAATGCAGTCTTGGATATCGATCCCACAGGGAGTAATATTAGAGGCTACGAATTAAGATTTTAGAAAATCAATACTTAATCACAACAATATAGTTCAAATTGCTTATCCGTCACTAATAGACAACTGAAATAAATATGTAATTTTAATAACTTTTAAATAACTAATTCTACTATTAAAGTTTTTAATGTGAAGTTCAATATATAAAAAAACATCATTCTCCTTGTCAAGAAATTAAAGTGAATTAGTTCAAATTGGATTGTTCCAAATAGGAACATATCTATTCTTTACCATTTGGTCCAGACATAAAGAACATTGACTAATCCTATGCTTGTTTACTGAATCTGCGGCTAGGCTGGGAAAATACCAGCTCTCACTTCGGAGCTCCCACGTTCCCCTCGCCTGAGTGCTAACATCTACACTTCAACACCCAAACGATATGACCGAATTGAGGATTTTAGTCTGTCACTCTAAAATCTCCAATTCTACGCTTGATAATTTTATTT